ATCATACTATTTACATTATTATTTGGACTATTGTCCTCATCTTTGTCGCCATGTTTATCACAACGTTTTGACCGTTGTATGCTCCGGCCTTCTTCATATGGTTGGAATGTCGACCTGAACCCTTTATTTCGCTCACTGGGGTAGACTGTTCTAGTTCCACTTGCCATGTCTAATGGATGTCAGTTACCTCCTGTTAATTCCCCTCTGAAAGTTCTCCACTGCCTTAACCAGGTATTGAACTCACACTCTTTGGGCCCTGTCACTGGATCTAACTAACACCTTTATCCACTGTGCCATGTGTCCTCAATTTATGTAAATAGTGTACATAATATCTCATCTCAGAAATATAGACAGATACAGAAAATTATCAGTTTGCGGTCAAATCTGAATCCGACAGAATGATAAGATAATGAAAAAGTAAAATGCATGCAGTTTTTCACGTATGTTTTTTCATAGATTTGTGTAATGAATGTCCAGATAATTTGGATGGAAAATACAAGAAGTTTCTGGTGTTTTCTTACCTTGAATGTTTGTTGGGTGCTAAGAGATAAATGTTACTATTATGGTCTGAAAAAAAGGAGACGAAATTTTTGTTGGTGCACATGTTGATGACCTGTCCGTGTCGGATGTTTTTCCAGTACTGAGAATGTCACGTATTTGTTTGTGTAGAGAAGGAAGTTGGTGTTGATTCTTGTTGGTTTAGAAAGAGTGAATTAATGATAACTATGATTGTTATAATTATTTTAAGTATTTTTGACACTATAATTATTTTTATTTTTTTAATTAATTTTTTTTATTTTTTATAGACACGACAATATAACAGTTTATTTATTTATTTATCTATTTTTTTTATTAACACAACAATGTAGGTACAACCAAAGATTCGCAAAAAAAATAAATATAAATGGTGAAAAATAACCCAAACTGAACAAAACAAAGTTTTATTGTTATTATTAGAAGGAAAGATCAAAGGATTATCATTTTTTAGGTTTTAATGAAACTTTAAGTAACTAATCACAGATTAATTCAATTATTTTAGAACCGTTTCTTTTTTTTAGAAAGTATTCGTAAAAATATTTTTTTATATCTCTTACCCGTCACATATTAAAGTTGACGAATTTGATTGGGGAATTTAAATCATGACATTTCGTTTATAAAACGGGATCCCCAGTTAATGAAAATAAACCCTGAATCGTAAAATGAAGAATGCAATAAAACTAAGACATTTAATTAGAAAATATTTTAATTGCTTTTATGAATAAAATATATTACGGACACTATTGTCTTAAGAAAAGATAATGAATTTTTACAAGAATTTTTCCCTTTTTAAAATTTTACTTAGAATAATTTATAAAGTTTTAAATATTTTAAAATTCTCTCTTAATTTGTAGTACTTTGGGGATATTGTTATTGTGTAAAAGCTATATTCATTAATCATAAATGGAGAATATTACTACAATTCAGCGATCGCTAGAATGTTGAATTTTTTTGCGTATGTATAGTCAGTCAGATGCCATGCGTGATGCATGCTTAGGCGATCATATATCTTTCGATAGATGACTGACGAGACAGATTTTTTCCCCGCAGTAGGCTGCCATTACTTTCTGCGGTAGACCAGTTGACATCCAAGGCTATAGAACCCGGTCTGTCCAGCTATTTACCCATATCTGGGGGAGAAGAAGAGGATTCATACCTTTCGCAAGGTTGTTAGCACGTACGTGAATATAATAGATTTGAGTAGAATTCGAACTTGGCCCTCCGATTCCTCAATCCATTTCTCCACCGTGCCTCCAAAAATGTATATATAAATGTGCCGATTTTTGTAAATACGAACTTTCATACACGGAATTATCAGAAAATAAGAAAGGTAACTGTAGTCAATTTAAAATTTGTTGGTAATTTTCTAATATTTCCTCAACAAGAATCTTCGTAAGTCAAAGTACCTAAAATTATAAAGTCAAAATACCAAAAATTCAATAAAATATTAAATTATTTAGAATTTTTTCTTACTTTTTTAAGATTACTATATAAAAATACGTTCACATTGCAGTTATCAAGTAATTTTTACCGTTATGGGCCCTTTACTTAAAAATACAAAACGTTAAGTTATCAATATATCTGTCAGCACTTCAATAAAGCACTCACCCCCATTGTTAAAAAAGTTTTTCTGCGATATTTAAAACTAAAAGTAAGTAGTATTTGTTTTAATTCGGATTAAGTAAACATAAAATGTTCCTTACATAAAGTTTCAGGAAAGTATATTTTATTTTTTAAACATATTTTAATAAATTTGAATTATGTTGTGTTGACAGATTTGTTAGGCCGATTTTAGCGATTTGAAAATAAAAAGATGATTCCAATCAATTTAAATTCGTTTTGAAATATAACAATTTTTTTTGCTTATTATAAATATTAAATAAATTTAATAATTTAAACTTGAAATAACAGCTTCAAGAAATATGTCAATATTTCTGAGATGAGCTATTGTCCTCATCTTTGTCGCCATATTTATCACAACGTTTCAACCGTTGTACGCTCCGGCCTTCTTCAGGTGGTTGGAATTTCGAACTGAACCCTTTATTTCGCTCACTGGGGTAGACTGTTCTAGTTCCACGTGCCATGTTTGATGGATGTCAGTTATCAATTATCTCCTGAATCCAACTACCTGAAGAAGGCCGGAGCGTACAACGGCCGAAACGTTGTGATAAATATGGCGACAAATATGAGGACAATAGTCCGAATAATGTAAATAATGTTCAAGAAATATATTTCATTTTTAAAATGCATTTTTAAACTTTAGGTATTTCTTTTTGGCGGTATTTAAACGTTTTTAAATTTTTACTCATCCGTTTTAAAAATAATCTTTCACTGTTATTTATTTAAATTATTTATGACAAATATATTATGATTCTAGTGTAACACTTATATTTTATAACTTATAAAACAAATTTACTGTGTATATGTTGTTTAAATTAATTTAATACGAGAACCGTGCTGCCGCCCAATGTGACCAGCCTACTGATTCCTCGCGCAGAGTCCGAAGTACACTTTAGGAACTTAGGAGTTGATTTCATGGGGCATCATTGGATGAAAGAAAGAACCATGAAATGGAAAATGTACCTGCTTCAGTTTACTTGCTTGAGCGTCAGGGCAGTATACAATGATTGTTAGTTGTCTGTGGCTACTTAGTTAATTATAATTATGGGACCAGGTTTGGGAGTGGGTCGCGAAGGCGTCGTTTTCCTTTGCAAATTTGGTTCGTCGGTACCACTAGCTCAGGTTCATCCTTTGGGTCGATTTTTCTTTTCTTGTAATACTCTTTATTAAAAAAAACCCTTTCAAATATCAAATATACTTTTATGTAATTTTATTTGAGGAATATTAGCTGATTCAAAGTCTTTTAATTAAAGTCTAATTAATCTGATATGAAAGAAATATTACTTTCAGTTTAAAATATTGTACAAATGCATTTTTAACGCAGGTTTATTTAAGAAGTTGGCAAGCTTCACTGACTGCCGGGAGTTTTCTTTCTCCGGAAGACATATCTGTAATAATTAGTTGAAGAATATAACGTGAGAGCTTTTGTATATAATTTTTTTAACTACTCAGTAATCTTAAAAAATGTAAAAATATTCTCATCTAATGTTTTATTGAATTTTATGTACTTTGGCTTTAAATTTACGATATTTTTCGTTCTTATTAGATTTAATTTTTTACTTTAATCTAATTAAAATTTAAAAAGAATGAATATAATTCTCGTAAAAAATTCATGATTCATCTAATTTTAGTCAATGAAACAATAATGTCCATAATATATCTCATTCATAAAAGCAACTAAAAGCTCTTCTAATTAAATAATGTCCTAGTTTTATTGCATCATTTATTTTAAGATTCAGAGCAGATTGGTAACTGGAGGCCCTGTTTTACAAAAAACAATGATGATTTAAATTTTCCGAACATTTCAGGGGCTAACTAATTACGAGGAATAAAAATTAATTTCTCAAAATTAAAAATATTTTACCAAGATTTTCTAAAAAACATTTCTAAAGTAATTTCATTCATTTGTCAATAGGCCTGAGAGTTTTATTAAAATTCGGCATATATATATATATATATATATATATATATATATATGATGCAAATTAGAAATATTTACAATAATTTATTTGTCAGTGTGAGATTTCATTATGTAACTCCATCTAAATAAGAGACAATTCAAAAAAGAGAAAAACTATCTAAGTGTGGAGGTACGACGAACTCATATAATTTACATTGCAAACGCTGTGGTTATTGATAAGAGTCGAGTGATAAATCTTCTGAGATTTCCGAAGATTTCTTCACTGTTATCGCCGATTCTAGTATTGATGTGATTCTAATTATGCTCAGATTTCTAATTATTTTAATCTTACTGCGAGGCTCTTTAAGAATTATCCCAGTGTACCAATGAATATTGGCACAACTACCTCTTTCTTGTTTTACAGTTTTTCTCTTCTCAAGCAACACCTTGATATTTTAATTTGCTTTTTCAGTACTGAGATAATCTTTCCTGTAATCTCCATTCATATCTATCTATCTATCTATCTGTTTGACACACACTCTGACATACACATACATATACACAGATTCATACACACACAGACACACGCAGAAACGCACACGCATATGTGTGTGTATGAGTATGTGTGTATGTGCTTGTGTGTGTGCGTGTGGAAATATATAAATGTGTACAGACTGAAGTAAGCCGATTGAACCCTAACCACGGTACGTAATGCAGGTAACAGCTTTTATTCGACTATCTGGAAAATTAAGTAGTTTTTTTACAACCAAATATAATATACATCACGATATTTTGCCAAAATGTCTCGATAGAAGAAAAAGTAGGGTGGAGCAGATTCATGCCTTTCTCTGGATCGTTTGAGTGAGGAGGATGTCAGCAGAAATCCGCATTTTCCGTGCCAATAAGAATCAAGTCCTTCGGTGGCTTTGGTTGGCTGTAATGCTTAGAGGGGAATATAGATAAAATGAACAGATTGAGATAGATAGATAGATAGATAGATAGATAGATAGATAGATAGATAGATAGATAGATACAACTTACTGGTATAGATCGATGGAGAGAGGCGAACAGACTGGTGTAGAGAGATACAGAGAGATAAACGGACTGAGATAGATAGATAGATAGATAGATAGATAGATAGATAGATAGATAGATAGATATGAATAGAAAGACATAAATAGATATATAGGTATGAATAGAATAACATAGATAGATATACATTGAATGACATAGATGGATAGATATATAAATAGATATGAACAGAATGACAAAGATAGATAGATAGATAGATAGATAGATAGATAGATAGATAGATAGATAGATAATAGATATGAATAGAAAGACATAAATAGATATATAGGTATGAATAGAATAACATAGATAGATATACATTGAATGACATAGATGGATAGATATATAAATAGATATGAACAGAATGACAAAGATAGATAGATAGATAGATAGATAGATAGATAGATAGATAGATAGATAGATAGATATGAATTTGTTGAGATAAAAATAAAGAAAAAGAAATTAAAATAGGTAAACGGATCAGGTTGAGATACTAATTCTGTTTAATTCATTCATTGGTTGCTTTACTGCAACATTGACTGATTTATAGATATTATTAATATATACAATTATATGAATAAAAGTTACAATGATGCAAATTAATGACTACATTCTACGCATGTATATAACAGTCGGCGGTGTATATCTTTGTTCTCACAAATTAAACGCCTACCCAACATATTGATTATTGACTACTTTTGTTCATGCGCATTGGTAAAATCGATTCGCATAAAGACTTGTATCGAATAAGAATATATGATACCAAAAAATTACATAGGACGAAACAAACCTTTCCAAATGAGACATTTCAGTTGCAAATATGAAGAGCGATGTGCAAAGGAATATGTCTCGAATGATGCTGCACACAAATGATCGTTAACTAATGATTTTTCGTTGGCTATAATGTCTGTAATTCGCTAAGCGTTACCAATGATAGGAAAAGAAAAGAATTGCGTTCGTCGCTATAACAATGAATTCTCTTTGCTATTTAATGGTCGCCAGCGGAAGATTGTTAATCAAACACTATTGTCGTCCATTTAGAGGAGGAACAGACTTTGTTAATATTCTTCAACCAACTGCTTCCTCTTTTCCTTTTAGAGCTTTGATGAATTCATTAGTGTTTCGATCATATATATTGCCATCTTCATTTGTCTCTCACCACTTCCGACTTTAGCTTCGATTATTTCTTTGAAAGTAAGTAGTAGTCGAAATCAAAATCATCCCCATTCTACGAAAACAAGCAATTGATTGAAAACAGATGTTTCTTTCTCTTAATGTGTTGACGCTAAAGTCTTGCAAAGGGAAAACTTCTATTAATGAAGCATACGTATACTGTGAAGAGCATATATAGTGTGAATAGATGTGAGAGACGTTGTAGAAAATATCCTAGCCTAATCAACACAGGTGACCCTCTCAGTTCGTACTGTCAGCCAAAGAATTATATAAAAATTACAGATGGTGATAAAAGATTTACTTTCTCTCTCCCTGAATATATATATATATATATATATATATATATATATATAGAGAGAGAGAGAGAGAGAGAGAGAAGAAAAAGAAGAAAAACAACAAAATGTTAACAATATTACCAATAAAATTGATATATTATATAGTAAACTTTTGACTGAACTGAAGCACGAAGAGATGGATTTTGATGTCGAAATTTTCCTCTGTAAGTAAACTCAAATCTTGGTTTAATCCCTCAATGTTTGAATTCATTTTGAAAATAAATTCCAACTCCGATCTTCTCGGAGTTTGAACGCAGATGTAAGTACCCATTGCTTTTAGTAAGCACGCATCTGATGTCATCGATACTATGAAATGATTGGTTGAAGTGTGCAGCGACAGGTTAAGTTGTTGTTGCTGTCCCTGATGTTCCAGTTTGTCCCACATAATTTCCCTTTTTGCATTTATTGCAGAAGAGCAAATATATAAGATTTCAACTGTGTAGCAATCCGATTTCTTAAACATCATTAAGAGATATATGGATTCGTTTTCCTTTTAAGTCAATTTAATGACCAAGATACTTAGGGATTTTGTCTGCAATCCATCTTTGAATCAATTTAATGACCAGTGTTTTCCGGAATCCTGTCTTCAGCTCGCCTTTCAATTGGCAAACATAAAATTTCATTAGTGATTTTAGATAATCATAAAACTAGAATCCCATGAAAAACTGACCAACCAAAAGCTGAATTGGTGGTCACCTTTTCCAGAACACAAGTGGGCATAGGGGTGATGTGAACATAGTCAGATAGGAAGCAGCAGGCAGTGAAAAAGGGACTGGCAGTCAGTCAGGAGCAGTCAGTAAGAAAATCACCGGAAGTGAGTAAGTCGTCGCCAGGTTGGACAGTAAATGTAAGGGTTCTTTTTCCGTGGCCGAAAGTTAGTAAGATAGCAGTTCACCTTCTTGAAGACATTAAGTGAGAAATCGTATTCTTTGCTATTTCCCAATCAGTGTCTTGAAAATTCGTCTTTGTTGAATTCGATCACGGACAAAACTGTGAACACAGCTGACGTTGGTTGTCATCACAGCTTCTGTAGTGACGCACGGAAGGCATCGTCACAACTGCCATAGTAAGAGCTGGTGGTTTGAATACTGCGTCAGTGCCAGATGGGGTTAAATTGCTATCAGTGATGATATTTTTACAGACTTGGCTTCGGGATTTATCGCAGTTGACTTGGTGAGGTGGCGAATGATGTATACAGGAGTGTGTGTAGGTTAAATAGAACTGACGCCTAGCGTGAATAGGGTTTTCGCTGAATATTTTTGTAATTCTTTGGCTGAGTTTTAAATACTGGAAATGATTTGTTAAGATGTGGGAAAGCTTGTGAATGCTGTAAGTGAAATAAAAATTCATAGGAATTCACGAATTATTCTTTTTTGTTTTATAGGTTAGAAGACTGTTTCTATTTTGTTTAGAAGCCTTAATAATTGATTTTTGATAGCTTTAAAAGGATAATTCCTATTAAGAAAGTAACTGAATAGTTGTCCAATATGTTTTTGCAATCCACATCTTGTGAACAGATAAGTTTTATGCGTATACACTGGCTGTAGAGTATTGATTTTTTTCAGTTTGGTGGGTGGCAGCTATTAAAATATAGGTAGAAATGATCATCTATGGGTTTGGTGTATAGTGTAGCGGAGATGTGGTTATTATTCTTATGTACCAGAATATCCAGAAACGGGGTAGATGTGGTGGTATATTCGATTGTGAATTTGATGGTGTGATGGAAACCGCTGAGGTGTTTTTAAGGTCTCGGAGACAGTTCATATAAAGAAGAGTGTCCATATAAAGAAGAGATCATCTGTTTATCTGTGGTAATGTAGGAGTGTTAGGTGGTAACATCTCAATATATCTCGTTCTACTGCATCCATACATATGATCGAATACCTAGGAACCATTTTCGTTCCCATCACTGTGTCCGTTGAACTTGAAATTGGTGTAAATAAAATAAGGTTTTGAAAGTCTTGTATGTTGCATTCCTGAAAGCCTATGTTACGTAAAAACATCTTACATGCTAATATTCCATCCTCGCTTGGGATGTTTGAATATATGGATGTCACATTTTTCAGTTAAAAGGAATGAATTGTTTGGTAATCTACCTATGTTTTTCAGAATTTTAAAGAAATGGTTAGTGTCTTTGATATAACTCGGAATTGTGGATAGCAGGGGTTTGTGGATTTGGTCAATGTAACCTGAAATGTGTTGTGTCAAGGTTCAGATTCGGCAAATCGTGCGGCTGGATCTTAAGAGATTCTATCAGATCGTAAATCTCGCATCGGTTTCTGTTGTTGTCCTCTTTTGAGAGCTTGGTGGCCGTGTCTGTGATTACTTTTGAAAGCTTATGTAATTTGGAGATAGTTTAGAATGTATCTGGTTTAGTTTGTTTTTTTAACAAAAAGCCTTATCTACTCTCTGTGTATTTTGGTCTAAGTGGCTAATTACAGTGTGTGGAGTTCTAATATGAAATGTTTAGTGGGATCATGTGTAAGTCTTTCGTAAAACCTTTGATCTTTGACCTCAGTTTCTGCTTCTACGATATATTTCTTACTTTCCATAATGGTCATTAAGCCACTCTTGTCAGCTAGTTTGATTATTATGTCTTTGTTTGGAGAGATTTTATGGCTTTTCGTTCCCGTCTGGTGATATTGTTGTTGCTACTTTGATGGAGGTTGTTTTGTATAAACTTATCCAGGTGCTTCCTAGCAATACTAATATAGGAATCGATGTGGTGATTGCATCCGTTTGGTGGACTCTCGTGTGTGGCCTTTTGTGTGTGCTTTATCTTTCATGGTAGAAGATTGATGATGGTTCTTGATGCTTGTGGAGAAGTGTTCCCTTAATCTAATATTACGGAGAAAGTTTTCAAAGTCGTAACACAACTTTTTGGACGGGAAAAAAGACAGTCCTTTGAATCGTATTGATTGTTCTTCTGTTGATAGTTTGTATTTGGATATGTTGATGCACTCGGCTTTAAAGGTATTGGATCGAATATGCCAATTATGGTATCTAAGTAGTTTGTCTGGATTGATTTCTGCGTGTCGTTTAGAAGTTTTAGGAACTGGTCATTTTTAATTAAATTACTTATTTCATTTTTCTTGCGTGTTAGGCATTTGTCTAGATGTTTATTGTATATGATTTGTAGGGCATAAAACACTTCGGAGGAGTGGTTGATTTCTAGTGAGCTGTACAGAGTAGAACATATGTAATTACATAATTTCGATAGAATAAAACAATGTTAAATAGTTGGAAAGAGACAGTCGTAGATCTGTTGAGCCTTGGATCTATGTAATGTGTTCGTGGAAACTTTTTTTTTTTTTTTAATTTCAGTCCTTTTTGGACGATAGCCAATGTTTTGCTTAGGGTTAGAAAGATATTTCCAATCTTGTTTGCGCAAATTTACTCAATTTACTGTCATGTTGCCTTCTGGTATGGAGTTGAGTTGTTTCAATGTGAGGTCCTAAATACATGATTAAAACGAGAGATGGCCCACTTGTGCTTCCTATAGGTAGATTTAATAGGTCAGTTAATAAAATTTGAAAGATAAAAATCCAAGAAAATGATACCAATATTGTCAATAAAATTAATATTTATATATATATAACTTTTGACTGAATTGAAGCACGAAGGGATGGATTTTCATGTCACAATTTTCGGATATGCCTGTTCACTTTTTCAACGATACGAGGGATAAACAAAGAAGTTGAATTGTCTCTTCCAACGAATTTTGTTGGTCATAGTTCTCCCTGTGGAAATTATTCTCTATTTAATCACTCAATGTGCAAATTTCTAATGAAAAATTTCAACTCCGATTTGTCATTGAATGAAGACTAAAGCACGAAATGCTTGGGTTGGTTGAAGTGTGCAGTGAAAGGAAATTAGAGTTGTTTACCCAGATTGATTTTTTATGGTTATTTAACCGAATTCTGTTGCAGTTTCTCCCACATAATTTCCCTTTTTGCATTTGTGCTAAAAGAGCAACTATCGTTCTAATCACACACACACACACACACACACACACACACACATATATATATATATATATATATATATATATATATATATATATATGTCCACCCAATGGAAGGCCCAATGGCCACTCAAGGCAGAGAATTTCTGTGTGAAGTTTTATTGGCATAAAAAATGCAAGAAGTGCAGTTCTTGGGACTATGCAGGAAAGATAACTCTAGACTTGAAGAGGTCAAGATTTAATAAATGAAAAGCATTTCTGACTTCAACCGGAGACATTAGAAGTAAAGTGTGAAAGTAGACTTTAGAAGAAACCGGAAGTTCAACCCGAAACAA